GCAACTGAGCCGATGAGTCATCGGGTCACAGCGAGACGGAGCTGCAGGCGGCGCTGTCGCCCCCTGGTGGGCAATAAAAGAATGCCATTTTAAAACCGCGACCTTGGCTTCACTTCTTCAGAACAGAAACACGTCGGTCTTTTATACATTTGGGCGAAATGTTTGCTTGAGTTCTGCTTCTTGAGAGCAGTTAGTTGGTGTGATTTTTTTCCGTGAAGGATATAATAGTTATTTGTTTTATTTTTTTGCACTTTACAGTAGTTTAAATTGTCTTTTATATTTTGCAGCTACAGCAGTAAATTATCATTAATAAAAAATAATGAGGAATAAATTGTAATGATCACCATTCTGTCTGATCTTTTACTTGTGTTGCAAAGATGTGAATAGTTCTTTCATCACTGTTTCCCTCTGTCCTTTTCTCTGACTCATTTCCTGATGAGCTCACTGCTGCTCCTCTTCTTCACTTTGGTTGCTCCTTTATTCTCCACAGTTACTCACATTTTCTCCTCTTTCATCTGCTGTTAACTAAAACTCCTCAGACAAACCGGTCAACCGTGGATGAAACCGTTTTTCCCGTACTTTGCACAACAGGAACAGTTTGTAATCTGATGTTTGTGTTTGTGTGTGCACCGACAGCGAGTGGTGTTGGTCAACAAACCTTCACCTGGTAGCTTTTTTTGCCCTTGTTTGAGTTCCTTCTACTTTATGCATCATGGAAAGTTGATTTACTTCTTAGTTTATCATGCAACCATAAACATACATTTAAGGCTTGATTAATGTTTTTTAGGGCGTTTTTTGTTTTTGTTTATCGCATTATTTAGTTCATCCTTTTTTTCTTTGATTGTTTGCTTTATTCTGGTGTTCTGCAAGAAACTGCCCTCATTTACAGACTTGTATGAATGTGCAGGACCAGCATGCACTGACCAGGAATGATGCTTGAGCATCTGTGCCTCCATCTTCCAGAATGTATGCTTGAAATACGTCAGCATTACTGTCAAATCATCTAAATGTTTACAATCTAACTCTATTTAAAGTTCTTGATCAAATCTGCTCCTTCTGAAAAGCCATGCTGATGAATCTCCCCTATTCTTTCTTTCCGTGTGCAGTGGAGCAGGAGCGTGACCTCCTGCAGCCTCGTCCCTACTGGAAGGAGTTTCGTTTTGACCTCACCCCTCTCCCCAAGGGTGAGACGGTGACTGCGGCAGAATTTCGTATCTATAAGACGCTGACGGTGGGTCAGAGGGCAAACCGAACGCTGCACATCTCCGTCTACGAGATCAAACGAGAGAATAGACAGAGGTTTCCTCTCACTTTTATGTCTTTCTTCCTTTACGGTAGTTCTCCTTCTCAGTCTTGGTCTCAGTTACTTGATTTTAGTCCCACACAGCCAGCTTTAGGCCTTCTGACTCTTTAGCCTGTCTTTAGCTATTGTTTTCAATTTATGGGTATAAGCCTATAAACACATCCCCCTCTGCCTCAGCCCTATTTTGTTTTAACACTAACTGGTTCAAACACAAAACTAGACCGATAAACACTTTATATGAAATCAGCAGGTCAAATCAGATCAAAGCAACACTAAAAAACACAGATTCAAAGATCGCGAGCCTGGCTGCAGTCTGTGAAAATAAAACCATCTGAAGTCTTGTTTATAACAGCCGTAAAGGACGTCATCTGTCAAACTGATAAATACAGGCTGACTCGAGTGTTTACGATTGTCTAGACTGATCAAGTTTACTTGCGTGTGCTGGAGAAAAACAGATCTGGAAGAAGCATTCAGATCCTAACCTCACAGCTGCTCATTCAGTTCAGTTTGATTTTATTTCTATAGCACTATGTCACAACCACAGTGGCCTTGAGGTGCTTTATAGTGGAAGATAAACTAGCTGGAAGAAACCTCTGGAAGAACCAGGCTCAGGGTGGAGCATCTGCTGCGACCAGCTGGAGGGCGAGGCCAAAGAGGAGAGAAAGAAGGAGGCTCAGTCACCCGATCACACAAACATTCATACAAGCACTTTTTTCTATGCCTAAGTGCTTTGTATCCAAAGCACAGAGCTACTAGGGGGCAGCCAGGGATTGAAGCACCAACCTTCCAATAAGTAGACGACCTGCTCTGCATGTGAGATGTAGATGTTTACATAAAGTGTAAAACAACTAAAAGATCAAAAGACCTTTGACCATATAGTTAATTTTGGTGATTGCATGCTCAATCAAAATAAGTGAAACCACCAAGCTGTTCTTCTAAATTCTAAATTTCTATTCGTCCTCTTCCTGCAGAGAGCCAGAGCTGGTGCTGCTGGACATGCAGTCGGTACCTGCGGGACAGGAGGGCTGGCTGGCTTTTGACGTCACCTCAGCCTCCAACCACTGGCTCGTCCACCCCCGCAGCAACATGGGCATACGTCTCTACGTGGAGACAGAAGAAGGTGGGTGCGCCTCTGGGCCCAACACCGAAGCTCATTTCTATCAGTGCCATTAGATCCATTATATCGCCTTATATGGTTGTAACCCCCAACTATCTCCTGCTTTCCTCCCCTGTGGTTTTAATCAGTGGAAAAAACTTAAACAGGTCATGTTATTTTCATTTCCAGCTCCATATCTTCACCCTTGGACTCATCGAGTGTAGCTTTGCATAAGTCAGTTCAAAATAATCCTTATTTATCTTATACTGGGCTTGGTGAGTAGGGAGTATTTTGACCATATCACAATTTTTATGTATATTTTCCAACTCCAAGCTGTAAAAACTTAAACGCTTATTGGACTTAAGCAGATCAGGTGATGTGTATTTATGTAATGAGGGAGGGTGTGGCCTCAGGAGGTCAACATCCTGTATCAAGGTCTCCATAATTATTAGCCAGCTTCTTTACCTTTATATGTTTTATATAAAGTGACACTTTTCTTTCAGACCGCTCCTTGGCTGGAGGGTGGATTGGGTTGGTGGGTCGGAGGGGCCCTCGCTCCAAGCAACCTTTCATGGTCACCTTCTTCAGGGAGAACCAGGTCCCGTGTCGGCCGCCGCGAGCCGTTAAACCTCATCCCCGCAGGAAGAAACCCAAATACGACCTCCCAGTCCCCAACTTCAAAGGTCAGGCTCCGGCCAATCACACTCTGGGATTACAGGCCTTACTGATGACGTGTTAAAACCTTTAATTCGTTGTTTTATCATGCAAATAATTTTCACCTTTTTTTCTGTTGTTCCTTCAGAACGTAATTCTGAAAACAGAGGTCAGCCCTGTAAAAAGCACGAACTCTACGTCAGCTTCAGCGATCTGGGCTGGAAGGTCAGTCCTGCTACTCGT